TAATTCATGAATTTCAACAGAAAAAGTTGCTGAGAGACTCAACATTGATGGATTTCGGCATTTCGGCATTTAAAAATGTTTCTGCAAGAAACATAAAAAAAAATAATGAAATGGACAAAACTAGTGGTAAAAGATAATTCGTATCCTGAGAAGGTGGTGTTTTTTCTGTTTGATAGAATTGTAAAGGAATAATTTATTTTAAAAAATTCCCTATTGGCCCTAAACAATTAATTTTTACAAGTACTGTCAACAATTAGACAATTTAAAAGCAGCATTCCAAAAGAAGTGTCCAATTGTAGTCAGTCGTAAGGGAGTCATCTTTCACCACAATAACGCAAAAGCACACACTGCAAAACAGATCTCGCGCAAACTGAAATAAGATGATATATCGCACTCACCATATTCTCTTGATATTGCACCATCAGACTATATACTTGTTTCGATCATTGTAAAGTGATTTGAATAAAAAAGAATATCTTTGGAAACTGTCAAACACCACTTTCCTACCTTTTTGAACGCTATATCGAGGTCGTTTTATGATCAAAGTATCTGTATGCTACCAGAATATTGAGAAAAGATTGTAGAAAATGATTACACCTGATATTGATTAAATATAATAAAAAAAATGTTACATACTAAATTATTGCTTGAATTTTAATGAGAAACCGGGCACAAACTTATGCATTCATCTAATACTATGTATGCATGTGCTGCGTACATTCATATATATTATACATTCATATCATATAATTGAATACATACACATAATTACATAAGAAAAATGAAAAATTTATATATTTAAGGTAGATTTAAATACCAAAGAGATTGTTGCCATAGAATTCGACCATGAAACGGGTTTTACCTTCATTTAGTTGTCTTAATCTTGCTTACTATTAATCAAATACGATCACATTTAATGATACACAATGAAACCGCGAATGGTCACGATAACCTGATGTACTCCACAGAATATCGAAGATACTAATCGACTCACCTCTGTCGCGAAGCTCTGAAAAGACAAGCTTCTTTTTTCTCTCTTTCTCTTTCTTTCACTCTCTCACTCACTCATGCGTATACTCAGCGCGCGCGACATACATATATGCACCAATGACGTAACACCGTCACATTCGCTTATCGTGCTTCGCGTTTGTATGTATTTCTCCCGATGTAAATCCATTACCATCACAATGGAACATGTAAAATTAAAACAATGAGAAAATTCGAAAATTCCAGAATCGGATGCAATTATTGCCTATAAAAGTGATCTTATGCAAATATTACCGAAAAAATAAAAATAGACATATTCGCCATCGATTTTGTTAATGATGGGCTTTGGATATGTAAAATATTAAACACATGGTTTTTATATGTTTATCTCAATGTTTAAAGATTGGAAAAACTCAGGATGGCGGGCTAGCCGCCTGTATATAGGTATCGTGCTCTCGATCGCCCTCTATGGGGCGCTGATACGGGCGTCCCGTAGAGGTGTATGGTTCGTGCCATGTGCGAGAGCGAGGAGGTGTAGGAGGCGGCAGCCTCCTTCTGCAAGGACGTTATGTCCAAGAAGGAGGCCGCTAAGTGGGAGCGCCGCTCTGGCAACCGTCGCAGGGAGCGGCGGCGAAGGCGGAGCTTTCCCGGGACGGGTAGCGGGCCCGAGGTGGCGCCGGCCGAGGAGCCGCTATCGATTCGTCGGAGGCCTCCTCGGCCGCCCCGGGCCCGCCTTCAAACGCGCGGAGGGGGGGGGGGGATAAAACTCACCCGCCTCCCCCCGAGTGTCCCCCCGAGTAAGGATCGGTAAAAGGAGAGTGAAGACCCGTTTTGGGATGGGCCCCATTCCCCCGCCCCCCTTGACAAACAAAAGGGCTAGAAGGGAGGATGGGTGTCCCCTCCCTCCAGTAAGTAGAACCAGAAGATTAACCCGGCCGGGCAACCGGCCGGGGGACCGCATCCCCGACTCCCTTTGTGGAAAGGAGCACGGTACTCAGGCGTGGGGTTCTTTGCCCTGGGGCATGAGCCCTGGGGCCGGGGTCTCGAGGAGGGAATACGGGAGTAGTTCCCCTGACTCCCCCCACACCGGTCCGAAGGATAGACATCCCGGTGGGGTTTTAGCCGCTAAGAGTCCGGCATAATCTCCGCCCTCCCCCAAGGGGCAGGAGTATTCATGAGGACTTCCCCACCGTTATCAAAAAAAAAGGAAAAGGTTGGAAAAACTTTAAAATATAAGAAAATTTATTTTCCAGCGGCTATTATAAAAATTATGAGATGTATAAACAAATTTTTCTATACAAAAGTTATATGCTATTTTCTATTCTTCACAATATATTCAGATCGTCCGAAGATATCCTTTCTTTTATTTATCCCTTTCTCCTTCCCCTCGATCTCGTCCTATTATTTATCCCAATTTTATTATTCTTACAAAAATTAAAATTAAAGAAAATATTTATACATTGAATTCGACCATATATACGACCATATAGTTTTCCAAAAGTAACGAACTCCCCCCCCCCTATCTCAAAATCTATAAATTATAGAGAACAATGACTCAAACAAAAGTTTTAGGGTTCATAAAGTTCTGTTTCTTGTGATCTCAAATTTGACCTTGATTTTGACCTTGAAGGTTATTTGAAGGTCAACCTGCGTTTTCTAAATGGGAACTACTTTTTATTACACTGTTTTTTCTACCAATTAATTTGAACAACTGTTGTCTAAAACATTTTTTATTTGCCTAATATTTTTTGGGATATTTGAGGAAAACTTGAAACTTTTTCAATATTTAACTTACGATATCTCGCTCTAACTATTTATCGGAAGAAAAAGTGGTACTATACTTTTCTGCTCTATTTAATCTCAAGAATATATTATTATAGTAGCGCCCTGACTTTTGCTAACTTACCGACTTTTGGAAATTTCAAAATCATCAAATTAACAAAAATCAGAGCACTATTATAACAATATATTCTTGAGACTAAATAAAGCAAGAAAGTCTAGTACCACTTTTTCTTCCGACAAATAGTTAGCGAGATATCGTAAGTTAAATATTGGAAGTTATCAAGTTTTCCTTAGATATCTCAAAAAATATTAGGCAAGTAAAAAATGTTTTAGACAAAAGTTCTTCAAATTAATTGGTAGAAAAAAACAATGTAATAAAAAATAGGGGTTCCCATTTAAGAAACAAGTTGACCTTCAAATGACCTTCAAGGTCGACCTTCGAGGTCAATGTCAAATTTGAGATAAAAAACAGAACTTTATGAACCCTAACACTTTTGTTCAAACACTTCTGTAGTGGTCTATAGTGGTCTGTAATAATATTTATATAAATATCATGTTATATGCACCATACTATAATTACGTTAACAGTTATATTTATTAGACCCTGCTATTTTATATGTGACGACATGAGTAATTAATTATTTTCATATATTTTCACGTATATCCATACTTTGAAGTGAAAATTAAAAATTTGAAATTTGTAATTATGTACGATTACCGAAAAAAACAAACGATTGAAAAAAAGAGAAAAGACGAGATAAATTAGTAATTAAATTATTAGAAGATTAAATTAATTCTGGTTTTATTTTGTCAATTTTTTATCTTTATTTTAAAGAAATGGTTAAGTTTACTTCAATCAAAATATTTTTCGTTATTATCTGTGACTTTTTCTCATCTTTCTGGCAACATAGCGATTCCGTGATAATAGAACGATCTGCCTTTCGAAGCAATTTAATCAGACACCCATTTTTGGAAATCTTCGTAATTATTGAAGTATGTATCTGCCAAAGCATGTTGTGCCGATCAGAATATATGGTAATCAGATGGTGCTAGGTCTGGAGAGTACGCTGGGTGCGGAAAGATTTCCCATTCGAGCTCTAATAATGTTGTTTAACAATTGAAGCAATATATGGACGAACATTATGGTACAAAAGAATCATTTTGCGCCTATTGCTGACTATCGCTGGCCTTTCTTGCATCAATTCATCATTCCATTTGTTTAACTGTTGCTAGTATCGCTCCACCGTAACTGTTTCATTCGGTTTTAGAAGCTCATAGTATACCATACTTTCCATATCTCAGCAAATACAGAGCATTGTTTTGTGACCGTGAATCTTCCGTTTTGGTATCGATGTTGATGATTGTCTTAGATCAACCCCTGACTTTCCTCGCTTTGGATTATCAAAATAAATCCACTTTTCATCTCCAATTACAATTCGCTACAAAAAATTTTTTTCTATCTGGCAAGCAAAGACATGGCGATATTCAAACGATTTGCAATAGCACTTTCACTCAATTCATGTGAAATCTATTTGCTTCCCTTTTGACTTTTTCTCATGGTATAAGACGTTTAGAAATTGATTTATCGTGTTGATTTATCGACGTTGAGTTATTCAGTCGATTACCTTTTCCGTTTAAGCGATGTTTTCATTTAATAATGCTTGCAATTCAGAATGTTCGAATTTTTTTGGTTGACCATTACGTCTTTTGTCACTCAAATCGAAATCAGTTGAATCGTTGAGACCAAAATTTACAGTTGGAATATGATAGAACTGGATCAGCATAAGTTGTAACAAACATTTTATGAACTTCAATTGCCGATTTTTTCAAATCAAACGAAAATCAAATCAAATCAAACAAAAAAAGTAATGAATGTCGAAAATGCAATTTTGTATTTTGATTCATTTTGGACGCGTATAAACAATGAAATTATCAATAACAATAGTGCGCAAACTATCATGTATCATAAAGAAATGTCAAATCTTTCAATGTTGCCAGATTTTACATTCATATACTAACCATTAACTTGTTATTAAAGCGATATTGCTAGTGACAAGAACTAATTCAACCTCCTAATAATAACAATATAAATTTAATAAATAAATGAACAAATAAAAATTGAAATAGAGAAATATGTTTACTTTTAATCGTGTACATAAGAGAAAAGATAGAAAGAAGTAGATAAGAAATAAAATATGATTTAAAATTTGTGCACAAGATATGTATCTTACCTGGAAAGGATTTTGATCCTTGAAGTCGGTGTAAAAGATTGACGTATCCTTGTCATACCAGCGATCCTGCGAGTAGATAGAATTAATCCTCATATCAGAGAGAGCGCTGTTCCTCGGCGCTTCCAACAATTTATTCTGTTTACTTTCCGTCATCTTATGTAGCATTTTGTCGTTTTGCGCGTTTGCTAGAAAGTTGGACGCATCTTCCATCAAACGTGATCCATTCTCAGACGTATGAAATGCAGTCGAATAACTTTTCTTGGTACCAAGATCCTGGAAACTCGTCTTATTCAACATCGGATAAATTTTGATATTTTGCGACTTCAGGATCGAATCACGAAACAGGAAATTGGATACGTCTGGATTCTTCTCTCGATGATCATTCCCAGTCTCCTTCAGGATCGTATCTTTGTTATTGACCAATTCATCTAGCTTTTCGCAAGTATTCGCACTGCTTAATTTATTTCTACAATGCTTGCAATCTTTCTTCTTACGTCTGCGATTTGGTCTGCGATCGGATTGCACAATTGTATCTCGTGAAAAATTTTCACTTTGCCGAGGTATCGAGGATATATTCTCTTTAACATTTCTATGAAAGCTACAAGGATTTTTGTTGAATCCCTCGGTGTCATCTTCACTCGTTCTAGATACCGCTCGCGGCGAGGAACTTACTCTATTATAGTTCGCGCTGATTTCAACCAAGGAGGACAATGTCGAGTTCTGTTGATTGGACTTCTCAATCACGAGAGACGTGTTTGACGACGTTCCGTTGACCCAAGCTTGTTTTGTGAAATCTATCGGTTGCTGGTCTTGAATTTCGTGGTTGTCTGTTTCATTGTTGTCCTGAGTCTCGCTAAGGGAGGACGTTTGCTCAAGAAATTGAGTAGAAATCTCCGTGTTGATGGAGATATCTTCATATAAATGACTCTCAGGATATGTCGTGGCTCTCGCAACGGAAGGGTCACCGTCGATCGTATCCACGTACAGCTGTTGATCGCGATGGCAAGATTTGGGTACGGATTGTTCTTCTATACGCGATTGCTCTTCCTCGTAACCTTGATTCTCCATCTGAAACTGGAAATGAAATAAATTCAGATTAAAACGAATACCTTAGTTTCTTTACATGGTGATTATGATAATAATGAAACGAATAAAATGCTATGTTTAATTATTTAATCAATTAATGTCTTTTGAAAAAAATTATACTTCTAATAAAAACTATTATCTCTCTTATATATCTTTTATTATAACTACAATTTATTACAGCTATAATTCTTTTCTACGAGACACGTGTTTAATATACAGAGACATTGAATAAAATGAGGAAAAGACAAAAAGAGTGACAAAATCGTGCGAGGAGAAAGGGCGATTTGTACGTCTTCTCGTTAAGAAGCATGTTCACGATTGCCGCAATTAGCGCGACTTGACTTCTCCATTGATCCCATCTAGTCTGTGACGTCAGTGAGAGGACGCGTCTGTGAAACCATCTGTTTATTCTTGATCCGACTATAATATGTACATGTTAGTAATATGATTGGATTCCTGCAATATAATTTCCTCTATGGCTTATAGTGCTTGGGATGAAAATCATGTGGAACGTTTATACAGGGTGTCCCATTTTAAAAAATGCATCTCGATAATTTTTCAACGAACTTACTGACTTTTGAAATTTCAAAATCATCAAATTAACAAAAATCAGGGCGCTATTGTAACAATATATTCTTGAGACTAAGTAGATCAAAAAAGTCTAGTACCACTTTGTTTCCGACAAATAATTAGCGAGATATCGTGAGTTAAATATTAAAAAAGTTATCAAGTTTTCCTTAAATAACTCAAAAAATATTAGGCAAATAAAAAAATATTTCAGACAAAAGTTGTTTAAATTAATTGGTAGAAGAAGACGATGTAATAAAAAGTTGGAGTTTCCATTTAAGAAAAGTAATGATTAGTGAATATCTCGAAAATGATGCCATTTGTAAACAAATATAATTTGTAAACAATAGTATAGTTGTTTTATGTCTTCCTTGAAATTATACAACTTTCGTTCGAAGTATTTTTGTTAAAAATGCTTCGTTGAAGAATTATCGAGGTGCGTTTTTTAAAATGGAACACCCTGTATAGTATTAAACACTCTTATATAAGACAGCATTTCTGCTGCAATATTATTTACTCTGATTTCATTGAAGAGATTAAGATTTACAAGATATTTCGCTACCTTTTGTAAAAGCGAATCATATGATATATTATCAAATATGCATTCATTTATAGAAAACGTTCACATGTAACAATAAACAATATATGAATTTATCGAAATCAATTTTTAATTATAGTTTTTACACACATACACACCCACAGATGTCATGCATACACACATGTATACATGCATACATATACAGGGTGTTTGATAACTGATCATGCAGACGAAAGTTGGAGATAGATTGGGTGTAGTCGAGAAGAAAAGTCATGTACCATAATGTCAAATTGGCAATAGTTATCGAGTTATTAATTAAAACATGTGAGCCAACGAGCACGTAGAGAGCGGAGGGCGGCCGCAGTAAGCACGTAGACTTTTGATACAGGCGGAGTCAGAGAGTGTCGGTAGGCAAGCGCGCGCGGCGAGGGGCAACGTAAGCGACAAAAGGTGATCGCGCGCGACGAGGAGCGAGCGAGCTTTTTCTTTATAGGTTTTTCCTTATAGCTCGCTCGCTCCTCGTCGTTCGCGCTCGCTCGCTCTTCGTCGCGCTCGCTCGCCTCTTGTCGCTTGTGCTCGCTCGCCCCTCGCCGTGCGCGCTCGCCTATCGACACTCGCTGACTCCGCTTGTATCAAATGTCTACGTGCTTACTGCGGTCGCCCTTCGCTCTCTACGCGCTCGTTGGCTCACATGTTTTAATTAATAACTCGATAACTATTGCCAATTTGACATTATAGTACATGACTTTTCTTCTCGGCTACATCCAATCTATCTCCAACTTTCGTCTGCATGATGAGCTATCAAACACCCTGTATACAGGGTGTCACAGACCACCCGTACCATTCGATCTTTTTGTAAACGCGACATTTTAAGGAAAAATATTTCAGACAAAAGTTGTATGATTTTAAAAAGGACATATAACAACTATATTATTTTGTTTGCAGATGGCAACACTTTCAAGATATTCGTTGATCATTACTTTTCTTGAACGGAAACCCTAATTTTTTATTATATCATCCTTTTTTACCAATTAATTTGAACAATTTTTGTCTGAAATACTTTTCTGTTTACCTAATATTTTTTGAAATATTTAAGGAAAACTTGGTAATTGTTTTAATATTTAACTTACGATATTTCGTTAACTATTTGTTGGAAGAAAAAGTAGTATTAGACTTTTTACTCTCCTTGGTAAATTTACAAAAGTCAAGGCACTATTGTAACAATTTTTGAGACCAAGTAGAATAAAAAAGTCTAGTACCATTTTTTCTTCCGACAAATAATTAGCGATATATCGTAAGTTAAATATTGAAAAAGTTACCCAGTTTCGGTAAATATGCACATTAGGTCAACCCCCTCAAAAGTTCATGACCTTGATATATGTTTTTAAGGACATGTTCCTGAGTGTTATGCAAAAAGTTGCAGCCGTCACTTATTGTTTATTAAAAAGTTATTAACAAAAGAAGTTATACGAATGTAACATAATTTTTCGAAACAGTTTAATAAGGAGATAATTTTTCATCATCAGATATACATTGAAGGAGCATATAATACTCTGGTAGCAGACTGACGTCAAATGACGTACTTATGACGTCTTAATGACGTTAGCTAACGTCATTAAGACGTCATTAGTACGTCATTTAACGTCAGTCTGCTACCTGAGTATATATGTGATGTGGCAGCCATGAGGGCATCCGTCACTAATATGCGGGGCCTCGGTCACGACGCGGGGGGGAGAAATCTTCGTGCGATTTAGGGGGAGTCAGGATTGACTCTCCGAAAATCTCCTTAATTAGCGTAACATCATTTAGTGTTAAGAGCGTGCAAATGAGGAGAGGTCTCGCGTCCCCCGATTTTGTGCCCCTGGACCTCCAGAGCCGACCAGCAGGACAGGAGGGACCGGAGGGATTAAAAGGACTTCACGCATCGCCAGGCACGTATCGCTCAGGTGATTGCTCTCGATTACCGTTTTTTGTTAGAAAAATGTATGTCGTCCCGAAAATAGACTACCGGCTGTTTGTTGTTAGACGAGCCTGGACGACAACACGGAAGGAGACGGAACGAGCGAGGCGGGATACCGTCGAGCACGATCACGACACGTGGCCCGGTCGAAGAAAAACAACGGCTAGACGGACCCGGGACAATGCTCGTGGAACAAAAGAGCTAGACAGAGAGCGAGAGCGAGAGAGAGAGAGAGAGAGAGAGAGAAAGAGAGAGAGAGAGAGAGAGAGAGAGACTCCGTGACGCGATCGACAACCGCGATTCGCGGAAGGATTTCCGCCGAGTTGGACGAGAGGGGAACGGAGAGAGAGAGGAACCCCTTCCGAGAAACGGAGAAAAAGAAGAATCAAAAAGAAGAGATTAAGATTCGGTGTGGTCGTTGTCGAAAGATAAGAGTTTTGTATCCCGCGCGCACCAAAAAGATTTTTGTGTTCCGCTTGCTCCAGAGGGATTGTCGTACCGCTCGCAAAAGAGCAAAATTGTGCTCCGATCGCTATCGGCCCAGAGAGCGAAGTGTCCCGTGCGTTGCCAAGGGCTGCGCAAAGGAAAGAGAAAGGACGAACGAACCGACGACCGCCGGCTGCGACCGACCCGGTGCAGGGAGCGACCCGACCGACCACTGTCCAGGACCACGTCGCCGGGAGGTTCCCGCAGATTGTAAGGCCGTCCACCTGCTTATTGTTTTTCGGTGTTCCGTTTGCGTGTCTTGTCGAAAAGTGAGTTTTGTTGCGAAGAGCGGTACCGATCTCGCGAGTACGCGCGTGGGGAAAAATTGTACCGTCCCGCTGAGATTCGGAGCATACCGTCTCCCGAAAAGGAATAAAGAGAATTATCGTAGAAGCCGCGCTGCTCTATTTCTTCTCGGTCTTTACGCTTTCCCGATTTCCGGCCGAACTCATCCCGTATACCGACTTTAAACCGCTACGAGCTACCGGTCCCGTCGGAATCCCGCGTCGCAGTCACACTTTTTTTGGCGATTAGCATTGGTGAACGATGCGGCTGTCCGCACCTAGCGCCCAATCCAAGTTGTCGTGTGAGAGACCGTGACGCATGGGCTGACGACAATTTGTCGGCGTTTAGAAAAGCGTCGCAATACATACGTGTTATATACGTAGTGTAATGTTTTGATTTCTTATATCCCTTTGTAAGGCATTCTTACTTCGTAAGTTGACTACAATTTTAGTCAGTGTATCACAGTTCTGCTATGTGGTAAAATCATTCACATTATAAGTATAATATGCAATTTTTCAAGGATTACTTTTCTTCGTATGTCACTCATTATTTATTAAAAAATTAGGTAAAACTCCTATTTAGGAGATCCATTTTAGAAAGCTATAAATAAATGAAATTTTATAGATAGAGCCCATTATCTTTAGACACAATATACATTAAACAATATTAAACAGTACATATAAGCGAGAGGGGCTTTGCCTCTCCCCCGCATCCCCTCTCCAAACAAACCCTAACCTAACCTAATTTATTGCATCCTTATATATTTTTGGACATTGTTGAACAAGTTCTCTTAAGATCTATTACCTAACCCAATTTAACTTATTATATCTGCATACAATTAGGTGTTATGGGTTTTAAGGAAATCTTTCTATATAAAGATGCAATAAGTTAAATTAGATTAGGATTTATTCGGGGAGAGCGTGCGGGAGAGGGGCGAAGCCTCTCTCCCGCTTATATGTACTGTTTCCTACATTTCTATACATACACTGTGTTTGGATTAACTGTATGGAAAAATTTATGAAATTTCATTTGTTCATAACTTTGTTATAAACAATGAGCGTGGGTTAAAACTTTCAGAACATTATTTATTACAAAACAGAATTTCTTTGCGAATGACTTTTCTCTCGCACAGGTAATTTAATAATTTGGTAA